TTGCCCTTTCTATTTTTTGCGTATGTTTTTATGCAGAGGACCAACTGTCGCGTCTCCCCACACATGAATTTCTTATAATCTATTTTCTGCTAAAACTAACATTTCACTTAGACCATTCACTATCTATCAGCAGTATAGTGGGGATAAGTCTAAACCAAGAGAGTACTGCATGGTCACACGAAGTTTGTATGTACCTTTGTGAACAGCATTACTTGAGAAGTTGAGGATGGATCTGTATAATGTTTTTGTAGGTCTGAACAAGTTCAAAAATGCCCCCTCTCTGCTTTCTATGGTACCACAGCTAAACTTCTGGTTTTAACTCGTATTCTAGACATATTATGGCGATGTTTTGTTTTGAGGCAGATTGCTCATGATCTTAAGAAAAGTGGGATACGTTTGAGACCCATGTAATATTTTTTTTTGGCCCGGATCAAATTGGGAAAACTCTATTTTACACTGGATTGTTTGGAAAAAGTCATTTTCATAATAATAATGTGAATAAATTTTAGAATGATTGTTTTTGCATGGGGATATAGGAGTCATTTGCAAATTGAGGAAAAAATCCATTTTGGACGAGAATGGTTTTGGAATTCTTTATTTTTGCACTGGGGTGATTTTGGAACAGTCCATTCTTGCATGGGGGTGGGTGGAATTAGAATCCGTTCACAGAGGTTATTTATCAACGTAATCCTTACTTCGCTTTGGTGAATTTTCACCTTCCTTATATCAATCCCGATAGGGCTGTTTGTATTAACCTGATCACACAAGGGGACCAATGAGCTGGCTGCAAAGTCTCGTGACGACGTGACGTCACTAACTGCGTTAGTACCATATTTGGTAGCACCCTTGTATGTTGAAAAGCCCTACGGCCACCACGCCGAATCAAGCATGCACAAAATTTAATAATCGTTTGGCTTAAAAAGACAGACATGTCGCGTTGTCAGTATTTAGGTAGACATTGTTAATAATGGAGAGAAACGAGAGGAAAAAAGGGAATTAATTTTTTTTCGAGAGACGTTCATGTCTTATTGTCATTATTAAAGTATACAGAGTTAATTATAAAGGAGGGAAATGAGAGGTTAAACCAGCTTAACATTTAAAAGCTTATTCTCCCAAGACAAAACATACTAGTAATCGGCGGGCTACAGAGGTGACAGCAATAGCAACAGATGGATCAATAAATAAGATAAAACAGATAACGAAGATGATCAAAGTTATTCTCTGCTCTTTTTTAATGTAGTGATGGTGACGAAAATGTAGTACGAAATGGGGGTAAATGTCAATTTCATCAGATTTCTTTATCCAAAAAAAATTTGTATTGTCATCCTAAAATTGCACGGCGCGCTTTTAGAGTCCAACAAAGTGCGATAATATTAATTATGTTTAGCTAGCCAATGGACGGAAATCAGTGCGAAAGTTAGGGGATCAGTGAACTCTACAAGTATTTACAATTATTTCAAGCAAATCAGCTAGTTACTGTTCCAACCTGTGTGTGCGTGCTCTCTACACCGCTCCCAGATAATTACTTATGTCGCAGGTTAGTAGATCAAGCACCAATTGCAAGATTAGAAGATACTCCAAAAACACGTTCTAGACCTCACGTGAGCATAAAGTATAAACACTAACCAATCATGACATTTTAGAAGTTTCTGCTGTAAAAAAAAGATTTATATGTTGTTGTTGTTTGTAGTTCCATGTCAAACATGCGTGACTCGTTGCGCTCCGGCCTTAGGGTACATCATTACCTACATTGTATGTACGTCAAAGCAACCATTAAACTCCAATTAGGCCATGTTGATTTGATTATATGGATGACATCCTCCGGGAGCCCCAAAACTGATGCGCGCGTGCGAATAAAAAAAGTTTTGACAAAAAAAAAAAAGTTAGTTTTACATTATGAAAATCTAACGTGGTCATGAGGGTTGAGCAAATGGCACAGAATATGGTTTGGCGAATAATCCAGTCTTCAAGTTCATTTTTTTTACAATTTCGTCTTTTTTCGTTTGATTTTGGCATTCTACGACATTGGTATAGTTTTTATTAATTTTTTTGTAACTTATGGTATATTTTTGCTCATTTTGCAACTGTTTTGTACGATTTACAGTATGGTTGAAAACTTCTTTTTTTTTGGAAACGGCCGAAAATTCATGCGCGCGCGGATGTCATCCATATAATCAAATCAACATGGCCTTAACCTCAGGTGGCTATTGTCACACCCATAGCTTGAATATTTTGGCGCTCAGCTAATCACTTGAGTCGCAGATTTCTTGAGCGAAACACCTATCAACCCGAGACATCGCGATGAGGTAGGAACTTAGCCATTAAAAATAAGGGGAAGCTTTTTTATTCGTTAAGTATCTTCTTGTCTACGCTAGCGCTCAGATAATCACTTGAGTCGCAGATTTCTTGAGTGAAACACCTATCAACCCAAGACATCGCGATGAGGTAGGAACTTAGCCATTGAAAATAATGGGAAGCTTCATAGTTGAAGAATTCTCTGGCATGACTTAGAAATCTGGTAGAGATTATCAAACGCCGTACAGTGGCCTGAAACGTAGGAACTAGTCTTGAACGTGTTGAGATTTTTAGCTGCGTCACAGCTATACCAGTGCGAAACACATCCCTTCTGTGTACTTAAGCACAGACTCGACATCTAACAAAGATTACATGGATTTATGTTATAACTGGTTCGTCATAACATTTGATACATGTTGGGGTGTTTGGGACCGGGTTATATTTTACTGTATTACACAGGCTTCACTTAGTCTCCTTGTAGTTCCATGTCAAACATGCGTGACTCATGTCAAGCATGCAAACTAAAGGTGGCGTCGTTATTTTTTTTTCGGGGAGCGACGCGAGTTATGCCGCGGACGGACGGTTTTGCAGCGAGCTAGGGACTTTGCCGGGAACCTAAGCGGCGAAACCGTCTCTCTCCGGCAAAGTCTACTCTCCAAGCAGAGGTTGGTGAGGGAAGATCGTAGTCTTTTTATATGCGCCGTTTTTTGTTGGTGGGGGTAGCGACAAAAAAGGGACATATATAGAAAGTTAACGATCTTCCCTATCAACCTCTGCTTCGAGAGTAGGCGAAGTCCCTCGGCGGCAAAACCGTCTACCCTCCGCGGCATAACTCGCGTCGCTCCCCGAAAAATTAACGCCACCGCCTCAGAAGTCTGCGAAGAAGGCTACATGTAGGCTTTACTAAACGTTAGCGCAAACGATTTGAAAACTTAGTTTTAGTTAAATATATCTCCGACGTTGATGCATTTATCAATTGTGCTGTACCGTACATCCTTACTGAGCATGTTCAGTACACTTTTCAATGGCATACCTCAACGTATTTTAACGTGCGAGTCGGAAGCCCAGACTGGCTACGTACGTGACTAGGTCGACAAAAACAAGGTGGAGTTACTAATTTGGACATTGTTGTAGGATGACGACATAAACTGAGGTGTACATGTTTTGGCGCTGCGTCTCGTGCCCTCATCTGCTACTGACTCTTTATGAGTTGCATATTAATATTTCTTATATTCATACGCAGTCGCTAGTCGTACGCACACTGCGCACAATACTGATGCCATGTACTAGTATATAGCGATCGTTTTGTTGCCTTTTTAACCTCCTTGGTTTCATGTGAGCCGACATACGACTGAGGCTTGAAGAACGTCCATGGGCTAGGTAAGTTTGGTGGTTTGAGGCATGCACAAAACTACACTGCAGCTGTCTACGCTGTTACCCATACGTTACAAAAACGCGGTACATCAACCCCTCATATAGGACAAGCATAGTCCGAATACGCCATGTGTTTGTGTGGATTGTGCGGTATATAAGGCCCCCATTCCACTATGACGGCGCTCTCACCGTGCTCTCTCTGTGACCTGAAATTGGTAGGAGCGCAAAGAGAGCGCCTAGTGATCGCCAAGGTCGCCATGGGAGCGCGCTGAGAGCACCATGAGCGCCGTCACCTCGGCGACTGGTTTGAACCGGCTCAAACTGGTCCAAATCCATTTTGGACGAGAATGATTGTGGAATAATTCTTCGTTTTTGCACTGGCGTGGTTTTAGAACAGTCCATTCTTGCATGGGGGTGGATGGAAGTAGAATTCGTTCACACACTTTAACTTAAGGTTATCACTGCAACACGAAACAAGGTGGTGACATCGATCGCTGTAATCCTTACTTTCACCTTCCTTATATTAATTCCGTTAGGGCTGTTCCCATCAATCTAATCACACAAGGGGACCAATGAGCTGGCTGCTAACTCTCGTGACAATGTGACGTCACTGTCTAACTGCTTTAGTACCATGTCGCAAAGCCCTACGGCCAACGTGTCAAAGAAAGACAATTAAACATATCGAGCTGCTAGTTGTTGTTGTTTTTTTTACTTAGTGGTCACCACGTTAGCAACAGTAACAGCAACTCTTCTAACTTGAGTCAGAAACATCATGATCGAGACCAGCTCAAATTCTCACAGGTAGTGAGGACTAACTGACCCAATAGGAGAAGCAGGGGTTACGAAGGCTGGTCGGGAAAATTCCCTACCCCATTTTAGGCCAGACAGTGGTTTTTTTCCACTCAGGTGGGTTCTTCAAATCTCTAGCTAGCGTGTTTGACGGCAATCAGTGGCCTAGGCAAGGGATCATTGAACTTTACATATGCACGTACAGTAGGTATACCTACAATTATTTCAAGCAAATCAGCCAGCTGACGTACCGTCCTGTGCATGTCGTGCCCAGATAATTACTTTGGTCGCAGGTTAGTGGGCCAAACGCCAAAAAAGATACACCAAAAACACGTTCTAGTCTTCACGTGAGCATAGATAATAAAAAAACCTAACCAATCATGACATTTTAGAAGTTAAAAAAAAAGAAGATTTGCATTTATTTTGTAGTTCGTAGTTCCATGTCAAGGAATATGCATGACTTGGTGCGCCAGCCTGTAATCGTCAAAGCCAACACATTATTAACTCAAATTAACCGTAGATAACTGAGGTTATTGTCACACCCAGAACATTGTCTACGCTAGCGCTCAGATAATCACTTGAGTCGCAGATTTCTTGAGTGAAACACCTATCAACCCAAGACATCGCGATGAGGTAGGAACTTAGCCATTGAAAATAATGGGAAGCTTCATAGTTGAAGAATTCTCTGGCATGATTTAGAAATCTGGTAGAGATTCTAATTCTATCGTAAATACAGGGGCCTAAAACGTAGGAACTAGTCTTGAACGTGTTGGAATTTTAGCTGCGTCACAGCTATACCAGGGCGAAACACATCCAGGCCGTATGTACATATACTTAAGCACGGACTCAAGTATCATGTCATACCTGTGCCGTCAAAACATTTGATAGGGGTACATAAATGAAGGTTAAACAGTCAAATTATGAGATACACAAGGGATTATTACTTATTAATTGATAAATTTTGAAAACTGTCCGACGTAGCATCTGCTACTTACAGTTATCAAAGAAAAGTGGTGGATGCTACTTGAGACGTTTTACTTTCAAAATTTATCCAGTTGCTTGAGTAACAATTCCTTGTGTGTTTGCTAGGGGTGAACGAGACCGGGTGATATTTTACGGTATTGCACGGGCCTATCTTTAAATATTCGCGAACGATTTGAAAACTTGGTTTTCATGAGTCAAATATATCTTTGAAGTTTATGCATTATCAATTGTGATGTACCGTACATCCTTACAGAGCATGTTCAGTACACTTTTCAATGTAATACCTCGACGTATTTTGTCGTTTATATGAGTCCAAAACCCAGACTGTCTACGTACGTGACTGGGTCGACAAAAACAAGGTGGAGTTACTAATTTGGACATTGTTGTAGGATGACGACATGAACTGAGGTGTACATGTTTTGGTGCTGCGTATCGTGCCTTCATCTGCTACTTATTCATAATATGAGTTGTATGTTGATATTTTTGTCATACGCGACTAGCGACTGCGTATGACAAAAACATCAACATATGCACAATGCGCACAATACGGATGCCATGTATATAGCGATCGTTTTGCTGTTGTTTTTAACCTCCTTGGTAAGCCGACATAGTGGTTTGACGCATGCACAAAACTTTAATGCAGCTGCCTACGCTGTTACCAGATCATTCGTTATAAATACGCAGTATATGAATACCTCATATAGGACAAGAATAGTATAAATACGCCATGTGTTTGCGTGGATTATGCGGTTTATTAGCAGTAATATGCTGATCTTGGCTTATTTGCAACGCAGGTACAACACATGCTGAACAAACTTAAAGCTAATGTCAACGTATTGTACGAATCCTTACGTTCTTCCTGCGACCGGGCAGCGCGTTGCATTAATTTGAAACTTCCTTATCAAAGACAAGTACACAGTAGCGGAGATTTAGCCTCCTTTGCAGACTTCTGATGCGGCGCGGCGTTAATTTTTTTCCGGGGAGCGACGCGAGTTATGCCGCGGGAACGGTTTTGCCCCCGAGGGACTTTGCCGGGGAGAGACGTATTCTTACACCTGCGGGGAAGTCATCTCGCGCCGGCAAAGGCCTTCGGCGTCTGCGATGAAGGCGAAGTACAGATGGCGTTCGGGCTTGCGGAAAAACCATGCCGGGATAAATTTGAGATTATGTATAAATATGTTGCAAGTCTGGCGTTAATCGCTTTTTCCATGACATTTCCATTCCGTGGAATTTCATTCGGTTATGACCCCACTTCGAACTTTCTCGGCCAGGACACGTTTTGCCCCTATACTATGCAATCAAACCACCTTTTCCACACTCGATCTCCCAGGTGGAAGTTTCACGATAAATCCCTTTCCTAGATTAGCAACATCACTATAGAACAGGCTTCTTTGTAAATTCTTTCATATTGGATGCAAGCTTAAGCTTTTCAAGTCTAAGGTGAACAAACATCTGTCTTTACAGTCCATCAGTGTTAGTCTCCACCAGACTCCTTTGCAGGCTGAATAAATAGTAGAAATCGGCAAGGGGGGAAATCATTGGCCAGAGGAGTTGGCCGCCATAGAGGGTCCAGCTTGCCTGCACAGAGCTGGACCCTCTATGGCCGGCCAACTCCTCTGGCCAATGATTTCCCCCTTTACGATTTCTACTATTTATTCAGCCTGCAAAGGAGTCTGGTGGATACTACATTATTGTAACAAAAAAAAGTGTGAGTGGTTCTAGCGAGCCTTGTTTCTTGGTGGGAACTGATGTAAAAAATTACCTTTTTGGCGGTCCATGATGACCGAAACTTGATCTCCACACTAACAAAGGCAGGGGAAAACAGTCGCTTTTTAATGAACTACCTAGCATTTGTTTATGTGCATTAAACGTTTGTTTAGCTATCATAAGTTGAGTGGGTCAGAAATAGCTTAAGCTTCGGTCACAACCCGCCGTACGTGCTTTTTGTCCGTACGTTTTTTTTGGGAGGCTACGTCTGCTACCTGCGTCTTTTCTGAAAACGTGGGGAAGTCTACGCACGTCACTCGTACGGTTGCGCAAAGTGTAAGAGTGTGGTCTGCACGCCAAGTCTGGCCGTGAGCGGTTGCGTGCATCGTACGTTGCGCAAGTGGTAAGTGAGTTGTACGTGCTTACAACGTACGATCTCTGTGCGATTGCAATTTTACCGTAAGGAGGCCGTACTCACACGTGCGTCTTTCGTACGGTACGTACGGGGCACGCGCGTCGCTCGTACTCGCACGCAAGGGTGGTATCCGCAGACCGCACGTAGAAAAAGTTTTACATGCACTTAAAGTTCTACGGCGTGTCTGCGTGCTCCCAAATCCGTAGGATTCCGTACGGAGGTGGTACTCACCACGCACGGATGCCCTACGTTTGCCCACGTTTTTGCACGTAGACAGCACGCAGAAGCACGTGACCGTAGCTTAAGGATGCCATCCATAAAAGTAAGTCAGTGTGGCCCTAATATGATATCAGATTGTCTTATAGTATTCAGAACATTTCCAATTTTGCCATTATTAAACCAAATCAACGTCAGCCTACCACCCCATGACGTTGTCATCGCGCGCCTATATGTAAACAATATCGAATCACACGCATGGCTTGGTGCAGAACTTGTTTTCGAGGCATCGCGTGTGCTAGTGCACGTCGACACAAGCCATTATTTGACCCACCCAGAAAATTACCTTTGTTGCAGAATAGAGCACGTGATCATGGGTAGCCTCTACCAGGCTTCAGAAGCGTAGAAAGATTAGAAATTGGCCAAATGGGCAGATAACTAGGAGAGTTAGTCCCCTAAAGGACTACAGTGAGTGGTAAACTGTACTCCTTCGGCGGACCAACTCCCCCCGGCAAGTTATATTTCTGACTTTGGGGGCCAATTTCCTCTCTTTCCAGCCGCTTCTAAAGCCAGGTAAAGGCTATGGCTATGCGAAAGGTACTTTGCTGTGCTATAAAACGTCTTGACTGAAGCCAAGCGAAAACACTGTTTACAAAATGACTGCAATTGAAGTCGAGAACATAGGCGCTGATTATTCTCCAAACAGAGGTATAGGCGTCGGCTAATCTTTGACGTGTTTTAGGCATTTATCAGGCTGGTATATTTTGTACTGGTATTTCCTTCCGCCAGCCAACCTTCGGTGGCAAATGGCAACTCGCAAACGGGCACCACTTTGCTAATCTGATACAGCCTTGAAGCCACCAAGAGATCTGCTTGGAGATTACGCATTGATACATGTAACATCAGGGCAAAGTCGTTCTACCGGTCTGTCAGTTGACATTTCGTGACATTTGCCAGGTGTCTATCCTGAATAAAGCTTCGGTCACAACCCGCCGTACGTGCTTTTTGTCCGTACGTTTTTTGGGAGGCTACGTCTGCTACGTTTTTTCTGAAAACGTGGGGAAGGAGTGGCGTCTACGTATACGCACGTCACTCGCACGGTTGCGCAAAGTGTAAGAGTGTGGTCTGCACGCCAAGTCTGGCTGTGAGCGGTTGCTAGCATCGTACGTTGCGCAAATGGTAAGTGAGTTGTATGTTCTTGCAACGTACAACGTACTTGCAACTTTACCGTAAGGAGGCCGTACTCACACGTGCGTCTTCCGTACGGTACGAACGGGGCACGCGCGTCGCTCGTACTCGCACGCACGGGTGGTGAATCCGCAGACCGCACATTGAAAAAGTTTAACATGCACTTAAAGTTCTACGGCGTGTCTGCATGCTCCTAAATCCGTAGGATTCCGTACGCAGGTGGAACTCAACACGCACGGATGCCCTACGTTTGCCCAAGTTTTTGCACGTAGACAGCACGGCGGGTTGTGACCGTAGCTTAAAACTGTCCAGATCGAGCCGAATAGATTGGCTTCGATCCGGCTTCGTGAGTAGCTTGACACATCCTTTTCCTGTCTTCCTTTCTTTGTCCGAGTCTCAGTAACACCGAAAAGTTAGAAAAAAGAAGATAGCCCCCAAAGAAACTTTTTTTCTCTTCTTTAGTTTCCTTTCTGTTGGATTTGTTGTGCCTCTTCTGAAAACGGGAAAGTCCTGAATGTTCAAACGGGGATTGACATTGCTTCGTTTCTATTTTTCAGGATTTGCGTTTTTCTTCTCGTCGCCCTCATCATCGCAAGTCCTGCTCTTTGCCGAAAGAGCAAGAACAAACGTGAGTTTTCACTATTTTGTCTATCTTGTCTCTTGTTTAAAGTTAAAACTTTCGATATATATATATAATCAATTGAACCACTACACAACAAAACAGTGCCAAGAACAGTGTGGCAATAGCTTGGATATATGAATTAAAAAAAACATTGTGGTGCTGCATTGAAGTTTATCACTCGCTTTAAGAGCGCACGCAACAATGTACAAGTAACATATAAATGCAAAGATTTGACATAACAGTGCGCCGTAGTCCCATCAACCCAAGGCATTAAATATTCAGATGCTAACCAGGTTATAACAAACGTTACTGAACAGGAGTGACTTATATGACTGAAAAATGTCACCATCAATATCTAATAAGGATTACATGTTGACCTTCTAAATCTGATTGGCGGACGCATATCTGTTTTCTACAACCATGCAGTGAAATGTGACCCTCTGGATTTGGAAAACGTGGATTGCACAGAGTGCTATGACAAGAACGGCGATCCTGTCCCCGTCCCTACCCCGCCTAACGGTTACAAGAGGAAAACTACCTGTCACTGCAAGTGTTACTTCGGCTGCGTGAGAGACATCGGAGCGCCGACGAGGGAGTGCCGGTACAGGTCTGGTAAACCATGGAAAGGCGGACGTGGACTCACTTGCAACTGTGAGTAGATTTACGAGTTTATTACACGACAAAATAATTTTATGTAAATATTATACAGAAGATGCAGTGAAGGATTAAATGCACTTTATTTGCCATTGCCATCTACCGAAAGACATAAGTTATTTGAAATGGTCACCAAAATATTTCCTAGCTTCCCTAGCACATAGAAAAGAAGCCAAACCTAACATAATTTCCGGCTCGGGCCAGGATTGGCCACTCGTTAAACCCGTAAAACATTCAAACACCAATCGACCAAAGTTCGGGAGCATTCTGACCAGATGTTGGCCACGCCTACCTTTCTATAGGAATCAAATCCAATTTAAGTTAAATTTGAGTGACTGTCAACCACACACACACCCGGCCTACTTTTAACTGCCAGCCAACCATGGCTGAACCTCCCGTCAACACCAAATAGTTTTGAAACATATTCGGCTTAAAAGACACCATGTATTAACATTTATTCCTCCAGGTCGCTCGTGTGATCCACCGACAATCCCACCAACGTACGTGTCCAGCAACTGCTCAGAGCTAACCGAGTACCCTGCCGGTACAATCTGCTTATATGAATGCCCCCCTGGCTGTCCGGCTCCTCCCGATGAGAACAGGAGGCAGTATTGCGGGAACGGTCGATGGAGGTGGAATCCAAGGATCTGCCCACCATGCAGTAAGTCTGTATCTGTTGTCGCTATGATGATGATCATCGTCATCTTACTTACTGCTGTAGATGATGACAAATGGCACACCAGGGTATTAGTAAACAAAACATTGTTGTTGAATACAAATTATCCACTCAAATTAGAGTATATCTAACACTTAAACAGTAAATCCAAAAAGATTCAGTTCGACCCCTTTGTCGATGCCGTATTTTGTCTTGTGTGCCTGGAAATCATAAAGTGTGTCACAATCATGATTGAGGAGTAAGACACTGCTCTTAGCTTTAAGGCATAGTTATGAAAGCAATGAAAAATGAAAGCCGTATTTGCACTGACGCACTTTCCTTGCATTTTTTCTTGCAAAATTCGACGACGAGTAGATGGAAGCTGGTCCGACTGGGTGAATGGCACCTGCAGTGTGACCTGCGGTGTTGGCGCAATCAACCAAACCCGTACCTGCGACAATCCGGCACCATCGAATGGAGGAGCGGACTGTACGCGTGAGGACGGGACGACAGGACTGGAGGAACAAAAGACTTTGACCTGTATCCTACCCCCCTGTCCGATAGGTAAGCGACAATGCGACAGAGCATTCTGTTATGTAGCTTGATTAGTGGTTGAAGTTATCCACTACTGTATGATGGTTATACAGTAGGTTATACTTAATCGTTTTGAAGTATCATGAAAAAGTAGTAGTACTTTCAGTTTTACACATGAAAGTATACACAGGCAGACCAAATGTTTTGTTTGCCAAAAAAAGTTATTTATAATTCCTAGCAGCTTTAACGTTACTTCTTTCCATCATAATGCTGTTTTCTGCAGTTACAAGGTTTCAAAATGGAATCATAATTAAAATCTTTTGATTGTTTTAAAGTATCATGAAAAAGTGTACTTTCGTATTTGCGCTTCTTTGCAATATATTTCCAATTATATATTTTTAACTTTCATGTTTGTAACTACGTTACTAGTATCAAAACAGTAGGGCTTTCCTCGTCAGCCTAATTAGTAGTAATTACTTGATATACTAGTAGTTATTATATCCTTTTCTTAGACTCAAACAAGGCCAAAGAGTTCAAAAAGCATCAGCACACTTTCACATTAATCGACGAGCGGTGTCACTGCCATCAAACCAACACTGCTTTTGCCTTTTTGCAAACATTGTTACAGATGCATTTAAATCCTTTTCATGACATATTTTTGTTGTTTTTCTCCATTGCATGACGAGTAGATGGAGTCTGGTCCGAATGGGAGGATTATGGTGACTGCAGTGTGACCTGCGGTGATGGCGAGAAGACCCAAGTCCGCCACTGCAACAATCCGTCCCCAGCCCACGGAGGAGCGGACTGTACGCTTGAGGACGGGACGACAGGACTGATTGAACATCAGACCGTATCTTGCAACGACGGTCCCTGCCCGATAGGTAAGTTATTCATTATTCCTGGCAAGTTTAACGTTACTTCTTTGCATTAAAATGCTTCCGTCTTCAGCTACAAGGTTTAAAAATGAAACCATGCATAATTAAAATCCTTTGATTCTTTTAAAGTATCATGCAAAAGTGCACTTTCTTATTTGCACATTAAATGATGCACAGTCAGGCCGAAAATGTTGTTTGCAAAATATTTTCAAGTATACCTTTTTAATTTGAAGGTTGTAACTAAAATGCAGTAGGGCTTTCCTCGTCAGCTTAGGTAACTACTTGATGTACTAGTATTTACTTTTAAATATTTTCAGACTTTGACAGGGCCAAGTAGTTCAAAAAGCATCATCACCCTTTCACATTAATCAACGAGCGGTGTCACTGCCATCAAATCAACACTGCTTTTGCCCTGCAAACATTGTTACTGATGCATTTAAATCCTGTTATGACATATTTTTGTTGTTTTTCTCCATTGCATGACGAGTAGATGGAGGCTGGTCCGAATGGGTGGATGGTGAGTGTAGTGCGACCTGCGGTGATGGCATGATAATCCAAACCCGCACCTGCGACGATCCCGATCCAGCCTACGGAGGAGCGGATTGTACTCTTGAGGACGGCGTTACGACAGGACTGACTGAAAGTAGGACCGTGCCTTGCAACACACCCCCCTGTCCGATAGGTAAGTCAATTTCTGGCAAGTTTAACTTCTTTCCATCGCCATGCTAATATCTGCAGCTAGATTAAGTTTGCATGAATTATCGTTTTGAAATTTTTAATGAGAAAAAAAGCTAATCATATCTTTCCATTTTCAAAGGTTAAATTAATTTATCCGTACGAAGTACTAAATGGTTTACATCGTCATCTTAAGTAATTACTTCATATGGTTACTTTAAACTTTAACCAGACTAGAACAAAGCCGAACATTTCAAAATGCATCAACCTAGTACACATTAAGGGGTAAAATCTGTCACTGGCAACAAACCAACACTGCATTTGTCTTGTACACATTGTAACAAAGTCTTTGAAATCCATGTTTTCAAGGACATATTTATGTTGTTTTTCTCCATTGCATGACGTGTAGATGGAAGCTGGTCCGAATGGGTGGAAGGTGAGTGCAGTGTGACCTGCGGTGTAGGCGAGAAGACCCGAACCCGAAACTGTAACAATCCGTCCCCAGCCCACGGAGGAGCGCAATGTACGCGTGAGGACGGAACGACAGGATTGGAGGAAACTAAATTCATACCTTGTGACGAAGGCCCTTGTCCGATAGGTAAGTTATTTCTAATTCCTTGCAAGTTTAACATTACTTCTTTCCATTATAATGCTAATTTATGCAGCTACAAGGTTTCAAAATGGAATCATAATTAAAATCCTTTGATTCTTTTAAAGTATCATGCAAAAGTGTACTTTCTTATTTGCACATTAAATAATGCACAGTCAGGCCGAAAATGTTGTTTGCAAAATATTTCCAGTTATACCTTTTTAACTTTCATGTTTGTAACTACGTTACTAGTATAAAAAACAGTAGGGCTTTCCTTGTCAGCTTAAGTAATTACTTGAAATACTAGTAGTTACTATAAACTTCTCTTAGACTTAAACAAGGCCAAGTAGTTCAAAAAGCATCAACACATGCACTTTCACATTAATCAACGAGCGGTGTCACTGCCATCAAATCAACACTGCTTTTGCCTTGCAAACATTGTTACTGATGCATTTAAATCCTGTTATGACATATTTTTGTTGTTTTTCTCCATTGCATGACGAGTAGATGGAGGCTGGTCCGAATGGGAGGATTATGGTGACTGCAGTGTGACCTGCGGTGATGGCGAGGTGACCCAAGTCCGCCACTGCAACAATCCGTCCCCAGCCCACGGAGGAGCGGACTGTACGCTTGAGGACGGGACGACAGGACAGATTGAACATCAGACCGTATCTTGCAACGACGGTCCCTGCCCGATAGGTAAGTTATTTATAATTCCTGGCAAGTTTAACGTTACTTCTTTGCATTAAAGTGCTTCCGTACGTCTTCAGCTACAAGGTTTTAAAATGGAATCATGATTAAAATCCTTTGATTCTTTTAAAGTATCATGCAAAAGTGCACTTTCTTATTTGCACATTAAATGATGCACAGTCAGGCCGAAAATGTTGTTTGCAAAATATTTTCAATTATACCTTTTTAATTTGAAGGTTGTAACTAAAATGCAGTAGGGCTTTCCTCGTCAGCTTAGGTAACTACTTAATTTACTTTAAATATTTTCAGACTTTGACAGGGCCAAGTAGTTCAAAAAGCATCAACACCCTTTCACATTAATCAACGAGCGGTGTCACTGCCATCATATCAACACTGCTTTTGCCTTGCAAACATTGTTACTGATGCATTTAAATCCTGTTATGACATATTTTTGTTGTTTTTCTCCATTGCATGACGAGTAGATGGAGGCTGGTCCGAATGGGAGGATTATGGTTCCTGCAGTGTGACCTGCGGTGATGGTGAGGTGACCCAAGTCCGCCACTGCAACAATCCGTCCCCAGCCCACGGAGGAGCGGACTGTACGCTTGAGGACGGGACGACAGGACAGATTGAACATCAGACCGTATCTTGCAACGACGGTCCCTGCCCGATAGGTAAGTTATTTATTATTCCTGGCAAGTTTAACGTTACTTCTTTGCATTAAAATTCATTTTTTAGGACATATTCATTTTGTTTTTCTTTATTGTATAACGAGTAGATGGTGGCTGGTCCGACTGGGTAGATGGTACCTGCAGTGTGTCTTGCGGACATGGTCTGATGACCCAAACCCGCACCTGCAACAATCCGGAACCAGCCCACGGAGGAGACGAATGTACTCGCGCAGATGGAAATACAGGACTGACGGAAGAAAAGATCGTATACTGCAACGAAGGCGTCTGCCCGATAGGTGAAATTCCAAAAAAAATTAAGAATGAATTATCAGGCTCGATTTAACGTTTTACTTGAGGCTGGCCCGAAGCAAAATTCTCATTCCCCAGTACATCGTAAAGCCTTACCAATTGTCAAAGTGTACCTAGTCTATCTACATAATCCATTCTTAATCTTTGATGTACTTTTTCTGCTAAGTGCATGACTTTCGATATAACTATGTACAAATGTGCTTGCCAGCGACGAAAACAAATTACATTGCAGCGAAAAAATTACAGTACAGTGCTGTTGTCATCTTAAAGACAAAGCCATTTTCCCGCTAAGACATCTTTTTGTGTCATCAATTCCATGACGAGTAGATGGAGGCTGGTCCGACTGGGTGGATGGTGAGTGTAGTGTGACCTGCGATGATGGCGAGATGACCCAAACCCGCACCTGCGACGATCCAGAACCAGCTAACGGAGGAGCGGAATGTACGCTTGAGGACGGTATTACGACAGGACTGACTGAAGATAGGGCCGTATCCTGCAACCTTGGAGACTGTCCGATGGGTATGTGGTTTATAACATTTTCCACTGTACAAAAAAGCGAGAAGAAGTTGACCTCTCAATATCAGCTCAGTGATTAGAACACTTTGTATTAGCCTAGTATTGTACCCTTGTATGTTCCTTATGTATGTATGTATGTCTAAGTCAAGTAGTGCATCTTTTGTCTATATACGTTTGTTATGTGTCTGTTATATCTTGACCTGTACCTAGCCCGTCGTGGCATGAATGTACAATAAAGGTATTTCATTGATCATTATAATCTAACACAAGATTCATTCTATTCCTGCGTCAACCTAAAGTCTATACAGTTACATGAATTTGTAGGCAGCTCCTTCCGCAAGAAAGAATTTGATAAAGATTGTCTTACGATACTGTGCTTAAATGTGTCTGTCTTCGGCACATGTTTTAAAACAGAAAAATCATTTTTAAAATTGAGACAGTAGAAGTTTCAAACATGATCGGTTATTGGTCTAATCTGTATTTCATATATTTATAAAGCATTAGGCAAATTCGAATTTTCTGCCAATTTAAAACTATACATAATCGACTTGCCGAAACATTGTCTCAATTATATTTGTGAATTTCAAGAAATGTTGAAATTTTTTTCTAAGTTGTCAAATTGTTGCAATAATGTTTATCCCTCCCGGCAGTATAGGACTGTTGCAAGCAGCCTACAATACGTGCCCAATGTAAAATATTTACACACGTTACAGCCACCATATCGAACGCTGTTTTACCTTGGAGCCCACGTTACTAAGTCAAAGCCATTTTTACCTCCGGGGGAGGAGACATCCTTCCGCGGAAGGGTTTTGTGAGAGATTTAGATTTTCATGTTCGCAGCTATTTCTCGCGTTTGGGTGGACGGATTTTTTTGGGACTCGGTATATGTTTTGCTAGTGGGCTGTAGATTGTGCACGTTCTTTTGTTTTTATTGTATATGTGTTTTCGGGCGTGAAAATGATGCCTTTTGGTGGCCCCAGAACACCCCCTTGAGCGTGAAAATGGTCGCGAGCGTTGACCTTTGGCGTGTTTAAGCTATTCTCGGCCTGGTCCACGTATATGACCCCTCACACAGAGGGGTGTCCGGTCTCGATAAATTCTTTGTTTAAAACCCTATATAGAAATATACAATAAAAAGCCCGGAGGTATCAAATCTCAGATTTTACTTGTTGTGCATGTTCACATATTTTTTCTGGTACTTCTCATACATATTAGATGGTGGCTGGTCCGTTTGGGTGGATGGTACCTGCACTGTGACATGTGGCCATGGTCTGATGACCAGAACCAGAAACTGCGACAATCCGCCACCAACCAACGGGGGAGACAAATGTATGCGTGGGGACGGAACGTCAGGACTGACTGAGGAAAGGACTGTAACTTGCGACGAAGGCTACTGTCCGATAGGTAAAGAGTTAATGATATAAAACAATTGTTATATTATTACAGTGTCGTTAAATTTCTGTTGATACTTTCAATCAGCTCACTAGACTACAAACTGTATTAAAGCTATATAAAGAGATTCTTTTTACACAAGCAAGTGTTTCATTCACAGCCGACGTTTCGGTGACTGTCTGACACCTTCCTCAGGGCAATTCTGACTGGTTATACAGATTACACTGCCGCACATGTGTCGCTGCCATAGATGCATTCCCAAACGTACAATATTTACATATCTACACATATACGTGGTTACAGGGAACTGTATCTACAATGCGGTACAGGAGTGTGTTATATACGTAACTATGGTCAGTTATTAAACAAAAGCGCGTGCGTTGCAGTTCAATATGAACCAGTCAGGTCAGAATTGGGGGAATGTGACAGTAGGTCGCCGATGAAACGTCGGCTGTGAATAAAACATTTGGTTGTGTAAAAAGAGTCTGTTTACTTGGTAACTTACCAACCTGATGGAACTGGGTGTATTTGAGTATCAGATATAGCGTTGTTCTAACTAAAGTTTGGAGACAATTATACATGCATAAAGCCTACACAAGGGACTTTCGCATCTTTCTTGTGTTTCTCAATTGCATGACGAGTAGATGGAGGCTGGTCCGCTTGGGTGGATGGTGAGTGCAGTGTGACCTGTGGCGTGGGCGAAAAGACCCAAACCCGCAGCTGTGACGATCCGGATCCAGCCTACGGAGGAACGGAATGTACGCTTGAGGACGGTATTACGACAGGGCTGACTGAAAGTAGGACCGTATCTTGTGACGAAGGCCCCTGTCCGATAGGTATGTGGTTGTCGTAGCTACGTTTCACTCCTTTTCAGCGCCTAGCTAAATATCTACAGTTTTGTGAATGCATTTGTTGGACAGCTAGTTCGTTAAAATTGCTTACAGGTATATGCGCATAAATGGAAATAGGCTCATAGAGTTATTTTTACTAATAAAAATCATAGTGTAGTAAATCGTATTGCTTCTTAAATAACACGCAAACTCGTATATTTTGATTGTAACTTGCAAACTATGCACATTCAGCTGGCCAAGACATTGCTATAATTGCAGACAAAATTTTAAGTTATATCCGAGATTTTCAACAAATGAAGCAAATCAGGTTCGTCTGGCCAACACAATACATTTTTCTCCCAGTAGTTCGTACATACGGTTCCAATGGCTCTTTTTTTCATACAATATACATGTGCCTAAAAGAACAAAAGTCGTTTCCATCAGATAGAACACTATTCTTAGTATTGAGACAGTAGTATAAGCGAATGAGAGGTATATTTGTACTAACACAATGCCATTTTTTTCACTTTCCCATGGCATGATAATTAGATGGAGGCTGGTCCGACTGGGTGGATGGTGAGTGCAGTAAGTCCTGTGGACATGGTCTGATGACCCAAACCCGCGCCTGCAACAATCCGGAACCAGCCCACGGAGGAGACGAATGCACTCTGGGAGACGGGACTAAAGGACTGTCAGAACAAAAGACCATATATTGCAACGAAGGCGTCTGTCCGATGGGTAAATAGTCAATATTTTTGCTTCATAAGAGAACGAGTATCATGTTATTCTCCAGATGTCCAGCAACGCGAATCGCTGGAAAAATAGTAGAAATTGGAAGGAATTTTAGACCTGATGTCACAAAGTAGAAGGACAATAAACTAAATCTGAACTGAATTACCAGTTCTTGCTAATCACATGTGGGTTCAGATTGAGGTAGATATGTAACGTGCTAAATAATAGCTTTTGAATTCGAATAAAAAACTTAAAACTGTCCGATAGGTAAGGTTTCTGTATGTGTTACCTGCCTTTAAATAGGTTTTAAGAAACATTCATTTGTCGTGCTTGTTTCCCAGCTATATAGATAGAATGTAACCAAACGTATTTAACACATTTTCACTAGTCATTCTACTGTATGAATTGCCTTGTATCCGTTTTAAACAGGATGCGAGGATCTAGACAAAGGTATGTGTACTGGATCTGGCGACCCACACTTTAAAACCTTCGACAACAAGCCTCATCATTTCCAAGGCCCGTGCAGATACACATTAGCAAAGGACTGTGGAAACGGCGACTTCACTGTGGAATCTCAACACGAACCTATAGCCCCTAATGTAGCTATATCTGTAATCCGTGAAGTCTACGTGACAGCATTCGGGATGGAAATTGGGATTCATCAAGGCAAAGTTGTGACGGTGAGCTGTATATTTTTATTGAAATGTAATAATAACTTTATTCGCAAAATCATGCCCATAGGCTAATTGCTTTTACAATCAAGTATACTACTCATTGCAGTACAGTAACAGGATACAGGTAACAACTGTCTGGAAAAAACTTCTACTTCTACTACTACGCTAGCTATTATGGGGTTCGACTTCTTCTTTGAAAGCAGTGGATAATGAATAGTCTTTATTTGCTCACCTAAGATTCAGTTACGGAGACAAATCTTTGGAGCAAAACGTTTTTTCAAGTTTCGGTTTAATTTAACAGGAATAACAGGCGTCTAATTTTACATTCATCTTCATGTTTAACTGTGTGACAAATGATCACAGAAAACAGGAATGATTTGAAGAGTTACACGTATCATAAGTCAGGATCTTTGCAGTTGTGTTTTAATTTTGCGACGAAACTACGTAGCCTGTGATCTTTTGGCTCCAAATAACTACAACATTCATCTATATGAACAGGTGAACGGAACGGCCATAACGCTTAATCACCACGGCAGCAATGTCGAGATCGACCTGATCGGCACTAATGTCCGAGTGCGGCTGATAGACTTCTGCGTGGATATATTCTACGACGGTGTTCACAGTGCCAAGGTTAGTAAATGTATTACAGAGAGTTGTATGTTGAATATGCCATCTCCATCTTACTTACTTTATCATTCCGCTTATAATTATGCCTGGTGGGGCGTCGCGGGGAGATGTAGTTGACGCTCCACTGCCAGGTGTGTGGCCTCCCGGAGTGTCATGCCGTGTGCGCTGAGGGTCTCCCTCTGGCCCTTACTCCTGATTGCCTGGCAGTGTAGGCCCTTAGGGCTGGTTGGGTGGTTGGCATTCTCATCAGGTTGCCAAACCACTGAACCCTATGTTTGGCAATGAACTGGAGAACTGGTTTGTTGCCAACCAACTGTCTGATGACTTCGTTTCTGACCCTGTCCCTCCTTGTCTTCCCTGCTGCTCATCTCCATCAAATGTCATATTTTAGCTAAACAAATCCAGTCTCTAATGAGAGTAACATATACATGTAGCTAGTGTGCTCTTTTCCTTCTTTTTTTTTAATCCGGACAGAGCCTTTGCAGCCGTGAGTTAATTCTTCAAGGTGTGACACAGTGTGTGCTCATGCCAGGTTCCAAGTTCTGGTTGGGTACCAAGAGTTGGAACTAATGTCTTGACTTCACTGAGCTATGTAGTATCCAAATGTAGACTATATCTATTACAGAGAGTTTGAGGGATGGTGCTTTGACTACTATAATCTTCTAATAATACAACAGTGGATATCTGAACATGACTAACTTATACTTGCTTTCTCCCGTGCGAAGCACATTCGGCAGTTTCCTCCACTCTGTTTGATCTTGGGCTAGATTCTCAGCATCCACCAGCCTCTATTTTCCAAGTCTTTTTAGAAAGTGCGTCGCCAGCTTTTGTCTCCCCCTCTTCATCCTACCCTCTGGTTTTCAGAGCATGGATGTCTTGACATGGAGGTCTGCGGTCATTCTGAGGACATGTCCAGCATATCTCATCCTCCGCTCGGTGATGGTGATGATGAGAACATGAACATTACACATATTTTTTTTTAATTCTACAGGTTGAAGTCCCAACAAGCTACATGGGTAACATGTGTGGACTGTGCGGTGACTTCAATGGTGACCCGTCCGATGACTTGAATGTGAACGGAGTTCCCCAGAGCTGGACCATTTTCGGGAATACACATCTGACCGACGTCTCGACGTAAGTGATGTGAATACAGGATAGGTGCATATAGTGCTGCACACCAGTTCACTGGACTTGGATCCGGACCTGTAAGAATGTTTAGGTTCAAGTCCAAAAAAACCTAAAAGTTAAGAACCGAGTCCGGACTTATTACCATTTAAGACCATTTCACATACCCCTTTTCTTTCCAAACCACCTAAAACCTTCCGTAGAATGCAAAAGCTGCAAAATGAAGAAAACATTGCCATCAGGCATCGTCAAGTACCAGCCTCCATGTTATGTGGCCAAAGTTTCACCCAGACAACATTGCAAGGTTGCCAACATGCAATTTTGTATATGCCATGGGTTTAGGTCCGGACTTACAAGTCCGGAACTGAACCTAAACCTTTGGACTTGAATCCGGACCTGAACCTAAATGTGGGTTTTGGCATGCAGCACTAGGTGCATATTTGTAAAAATGCATACTTTTAGTAACACGCGTAAATACATCCATATTAGATACTACCTTCTCTTGTCGACATCAAAAGCAAATGTTCCGTCACTGACATCGCATTTTTTTGCCTCACAGATATTACTAAGCTATAGGGTAGGATTGGTTAATTACACTTAAACTTACTACATTACAAGAATAAACAAAAAAGGTCTCTGGAAAAATCGAGTTTTGCTGTCCTGAAAGTGCACTGCATGTTTTGAAAAGACCATTCCTTGGTTGTAATGAGAAAAATGTTTAATTTATCTCAGTTGTCCTGGAGGTAACACGGGCCCGGCAGATAACCCTGTGTTCACGTGTGCTCCGGAATTGAAGACACGAGTGGCAGCGGCAACCCAGTGCGGACTGATCAAGGATCACTACGGCCCGTTTGGAATGACGTGCAATGACGTTGTGGATCCTCAGCGGTTCTTTGATGACTGCGTCTTCGACATGTGTGCGTGGAATGGAGCCGATGGGCTGTGCCAGAACCTGGAGGCATATGCTGCCGCCTGCGTGGCAGCCGGCGTGTCGTCTGGATCCCTTAACTGGCGAACTGCAGACCGTTGTCGTACGTGTGATTTCGAAGTTCAATCTATACTTAGCTTGATATAAAACACACGCACGCACACACACACACACACACACAGTGCACACACACACACAGTGCACACACACACACAGTGCACACACACACACAGTGCACACACACACACACACCTACACACACACACACGCACACACACACACAGTGCACACACACACACACAGTGCACACACACACACACACACACACACACAATTGTTAATATCAAAGAACAGATAACAATAAGGTTTTTTTTCTTATCTCCCCTGAAATCATGTCTGTTAAATAACTTTTTTGGTCAAAACGTAGATACCAATGTTAGCACGATGCATTCTGGGATAGTTAAGAGGGTATTTAGGAGTTTGCATAAGACTTGCACACATACTGGGTATTTTACTGTATACTGTAAAGTAAGATGCATTTTTATTTCCTGAAATTAATGTCAGTCGGAAAATAGCACTCCCTTCTGGACTTTGGAAATTGGGACCCCTTTTAAGATTGCATCTTGGTAGAGATCCCGATCGAAGTCTTCGACAGAGACTGCCATGAGAATGCTAGGAACATGTTAGCCTAAGGAGGGTTTCCGATTTATGATAACCCGACATGTCAAAAGTCAACCCGATTCTTTTACGGAAATATGAATATCTATACCTAAATTTACACAGGTGCACACACACACACACACACACACACACACACACACACACACATATATAGTATATATATATATATATATATATATATATATATATATATACAAGTGATCAACATTTTCTTTTACTTCTTTTCAGATACATCTATATATCACATTCTAAAGACTATATATCACATTCTAAAGAGTATAATTTGACTCTTTATTTCCAACAGCCTTGCCCTGTCCAGACAACAGCGTGTATAGCACATGCACAAGCATCTGCCCTGCGACCTGCGCCAACCCCAATCCAGACTGTGATCCTGGCTGTGTGGAAGGCTGCCAGTGCAAGACAGGTTTCCTGCTAAGTGGACTGGAATGCGTACCTGAAGCGGAGTGTGGTTGCACCGACGAAAATGGATTTTACCACATGGTAAGTCTGGAGTTATGGAAAATGACTAAGTATGTATGTATGCATGCAAGAAATTACGCCACCAGTACACCCTTTGTTAAATTTGTATGATTTTATAGAGAAAATAGACATGGATCAACTCTATGTCTAACCATCAAACCAAGAAATCTAAAATTGCAATGTAAATAGTTTTTTTTAAATATTCCGACATCTAATCACAAGACGTGGCGACGGCACACTCAAGTTTTTTCAACTTATATTAATGCCGCCACCAACACAGGGGACAATACAATACTCATTATCACCTGAGCGAAGTGGGGAAAGACGTGTAAAGTACCTTTCCCAAGGGCACATGATCGGTGACATGTCAGGACTCGAACCCAGGACCTCTTGGTTCTGAGTCGAGCACTCTGCCGCCACGCCACACCACCCCACAAATAGTTATCAAGATTAAAACTGCGGTGTTGTAATTACAATTCTACACCATGCAATTTATAATGTGCCGGAGAATGATACATACTTTCAGTAATTTTCTTTTACACCATTTTAGCTTGGAGACGTATGGGACCATGATGGCGAAGAATGTTCATGCCATGCAGAAAACACCATCACCTGCGAAGGTAAGTCAACTTTTAAAAAATATATACTCATATAATACGTATAGTAGGATGCTAAACTTTTGACGCCCGCTCCCTCTAACTCCTAGAGTACTCCTCGTATGACCAATGATTTTTCAACTGATGATGAACCAACATTATTACAGCATATCAATTTTTGTCCTTTTTTTTACATACATTACAGGTGTTACGGAGGCAACGCCCCTGTTTTAGAAGAATCTCCCCTGAAGTAAGTTTTCTGTCATATACTTTTTTTTATTCAGCATACAATAAACAAAATAAGAGTACAGGACAAAGTGACGACGGGCTCAAGTTAGGTAACTTATGTTAGTGCCGCCACTTATACGAATAAAACTAATATTACTAAACAATGCAAAACACTAACCAAGAATACATGTAAAAGAAAAGAACAAACAGTCGAATTGATGAAGCGAGAGTCCACATTCCCCACCCAAAAGATGAGAAGGCCAGGACACAGAGTTAAAAACGTTTTGTTGCTAAAATGTAATTTTGGGCGGTTGACATAATGTTACAGTTAACTCGAAAAGAATTTTCGTATACTGTGTAAGACAAGTTAGAGAAACAGTCATCTATGGCACCAAATGATCCAACATGCATTTATAATGGATCCAACTACGAAAGAAAGTTACCAGACCATAAACTTAAAGATATATGTGTACTTTTGTTATTATTAATGTTAATTACTGTTTTTGCTAAGTAACTTTTTCTTTATCATCATTGTTATTATCATTATTTATTGTATCCTAATTTCATTGTTTGTATGTAACTGTTGTATTTTGTGTAATACAGGGCCCCACTGAAAAGCAGTGTCATCACTGAGTGGGTCACCCTGTTTAAATATGACGGAAAATAAAACATAATAAAATAAATATACTGCAGATATAATATGATGCTAAAGGCCAATGCCCCAAATCCGGTCAATGCTTTTACTGGCAGTTGACATATTTTTTCAGTATTGCTAAAAAAAACTAATTGTCTTTTTTTGCACTTTATGGTCAAAATAGACGCAGTGGACCGAGTGATATCTTGATGACAAGGACCAAACATGGATACGAACAGCTCAATACCCATCGTAAAAAAACTCTAATAACTAATTGACATAGTCCGCTCCATTACTTGAGCTAGACTTTAGTTACGATAGTAGCCTGATCACCTTAATTAGTTGTTCCGATAGTGACTTGATCATCAACCCTGATCGTAAAGTGGCTGAGGAGAAGACCAAGCTAGAACTATTGTAGTTTTGTGAAACCCGAAGTCAAGCATATATTTAGCTTCTATCTTTTGCTCCTAGATAACATTGCATCATGAACATGAAACAGACCATAAGGTGCAATTTCACTTCTTCCGCGAAACTCAATATAAAATCGGTTTTGTTTTGCTTTATTCGGATTTCCTTATTCAATTGGTAACTTAAGGTGAGCACAAGCCTATTAGAGCAACTAAAGTAGAAAGCATTTGTCCAGTAGAAAAGAATAACGTTAACGTAAGCGAAGTTAGTCTTCCTCGCTGCCTCAGGTGTAGAAATCGGAGAGGGAATTTGCATTAAGTATCACCACTTAAGAATTTCTTCTTGTGCAAATATAGCCATTCATGCTGCTCTGTTCTTTCACGACCACATATTTGGAACTTACTGTTCATATTCTTCTTCTTTGGGTGTTGGCGTGTAAAGGACGAAAAAAATGCTCAAATGCGAATATTCCATTTTCAGCTGGCTACATGAATGATAAAACCTTGCCTCTTAGTTTTCTCTGTGAAGATTTTAAGTCTTCACTTTATCAGAATAGAAATATTATTAGCCAGTTAACAGTAAAATTATACTGGTGTGGCATAGAGAAATTAATGTGTTAATATATTACTCTTAGGGCGGTTTGTACCGAAATCAAAAATGAAAATCAATAATGTTTGTAACTGCAGACCCGATTTGCACGTTCATGTCACCTTATATTGAGCTAATTAATGACTTAGTCATAAACTAATATTCCTTAATATTACAAAATGACCCCCCCCTTTTTTTAATATTTTCCCCCTCCCTCTATTTTGACCTTACAATCAAGAGATTAACAATGCGTTTGCTGTTTGTGTATGTAATGTTTTAAATCTTTGAACTGTACGAATGTACAACCCATTGTCTAATGTTTCATTTCGGATCAAACCGCATTAGGACTACTTTAAAATTCTAGAGAGCTATGTTTTAGAATATACACACAAAATATAATGCAATATCTCTCGTTCTTTAGCTTGGCTTGGACTGTTTCCACAAATTAGACAAAATCTGTCAGACAAATCATTAATAATAGTAAACATGGCTGGTGGCATTAGATTATATTTTTTTAAAGACAAAGGTTAAACTTTAGCCTTAAATCAGTGTGTAGCTATATTCAAAGGATTTAGATTGTTAGCCAAATATGATAATACATATTTACCAATATTCATATATGGTGGTATACATTCACACCTCTGTGCTGTTCCTATTGTACCTTGAGATTAGTGAAAACCGTCAAGTTTGATTTCTTTAAATTAATACTTCCAGTGGTATATTCATGTGGTTTACATTCACACCTCTTTTCTAATTCTTTTGTACCTTAAGATTAGTGAAAATTTTCAAGTTTGATTTCTTTATATAAACTTTGCCTTAAGTTCTGGTGTCTGAAAACAAAGTGACTTTGATGCACTCGCAAATAGCTAAAAATGGTAACCCATACCAATATTCATATCTGGTGGTTGATATTCCTCTGTTCTATTCCTTTTGTACTTAAAGATTAGTGAAAACTTTCAATTTTGATTTCTTCATATATACCTTACCTTAAGTGCTAGTCTTAATTTTTTTTTTACGTAATGCACTCGCGAGTAGATAAATATAGTAATACATAACAATATTCATATCTAGTGATTTATATTCAAAACTCTAGTCTATTTCTTTTGTACTTTAAGATTAGTGAACACTTTTAAGTTTCATTTCTTTATATATCTTTAAGTCCGTGGTAGTCTAATATAAGACGGAGTGACTGCAATGCACTCGCGAATATTTTTACTTACCAAGGCCACAGTGGCAGTAGGATGTGTCCTTACCACCGAAACAGTACCATCAAAGTCTTTCGTAGGTCGGAATATCCGCTACATCTAGTATATCGAAAATTACATTCCGTTCTCATTTATGACCTACAAAACATGCAGCAACTTTGATTTTGTAACAGAAGAGTGACTAACACCTGGTATGCCGCCAAAATGTGTTGCTGTCCTTTAATCAGCTTTACATGTACAAGCCATATGTAACTCTTTCTACTATCTAGATTAAACTTTACTCTCCTAGAAAGTTGTGTTTTCTTATTTAAGTTGACTTGTAAGTTTAACTGTCACCATGGTTAACAGAGTGCAGTCAGGACGTTGGTAATTTTATTTTATTTATTTATTTATTCGCATATAATCAAAGAGAAGAACAATAAAATGAACATATTACAGTAAAATAGGATATGCAGGGGAAAGATAAAAAGCCATATTGGCTTGTCCGTGATCTTCCCTCGACTAAATTAATTGACAACTGTAATAATGGTAACAAATCAAATAGTAATAATAAATAACAATAAGTAATTGGTAAATAACGTTAATTAGAAATGATATGTTAAAAAATAAGTTAACAGAGGTTTAACTGAAGTACAAACATAAGCAAAAAAATTGAAGCAATAACTCCAGAACATATACATGAATTTTAAATTCAAATCTTATATAACATGTAACGGGAATTTCAATAAGTACAATAAGCCCAGCATACATATCAATAACAATACTTAAGACTCGACAGGATATATTCAAACACTGTTTCTTTATTGATTTTCATAATCTTGAGTACATGATTTATGGATGATCTTATTCATTAGAATTGAGCCTTCAGTTCTTTTTGAAAGAAATACAACATCTGCATGTCATATATTAATACATTTCCTCTCTAAAACAAGAAATAAAAAATGTAGTATAAATTTACATGAAAACAATCACAAGCGTTGTATACGTTACCTTAAAGGCACCCAATGCAATTCAGGGCAGCAAAACTGGAAATATTCTAATTAGGGCAAACTTTGTGATATTAACACATACTGCTTCACATTAGCACATTTTTAAAAATCAGCATTTCATACTTTGGGCATTTAAAACTGCAGAAACAAGCCCCAATATGAGTCCTTTATTTTCTGGGTGGTACCCTAAAAATCAGCCCAGGGTCCTTCAAGTAACCATTTTCCGTCGGAATTTGGGGTAATTTTGCTCCATGAGGGTCAGTATACATTGGGGCAGTGTGGTTTCCACGCAGTATGTAGGCTAAATGGCTAGAATATTGGCTTTGAAAATCGGGTTAAAAACTGCATTGGATGCCTTTAACACATGTGCCTTGCTTGCACATTCCCCTTGCAGAGAAAATAGGAGCAGCTTTCTGCTTCAGACTTAAGTGTTCCTTTCTTATAAATAGAAATCTTTCTGCTACCCAATAAGGATTGTTTTTAAGAAGAATAAAGTCTATAAAAATCGAACAAAGAAGAACTTAGACAAAAAATGGCCAATTAGTATTTGAATTATCCTTCAGCTTTTTCAACAATGTAATCAGCCATTTTGAATTTGTCACTAATACAATATACACTCGCACAATTGCAATAATCTGCATAATCAATATCAAATCTTTCTTGAAGACTTACATTTGGCCTCGTAAATATCAGTTTTTGCAAAAATGACCAAATAATCACAACGCTGGAAAAACTGTTCAAGTATATTTTCTAAGATTGCTAAGTTTTGACTTCTAGTGGAACGCTAACGGTTATAGCTGACATTACAAATGTACAATTACTACAAATAACGAGAACATTTTCTCTGGATATTCTTGTCTAACAGCTCCAGAGTTCACTATCTTTACTACATATACGTGCCTGTTTCTATACAATGATTAGCCATGTCTTATAAGAAACAACTCTTTTCTTTCTTTCCTCTTTTCACAACAAGCGTAATCATTTAATAATAATATAAAAATTGTGCGGCTAGCAGGTTGTTTCAAAGAACTTCAAAACAATTTGATGAAACAATTATCTGATTAACACATTTTGAAACCAAGCTTAAGGAATAAAGGTTACATGATAAAGAAACTTAACATATTCATCCTACAGGATGTTTTAACACAACGGACATCTCATCTCATTTCATCTAGATCTATTCTTTATTTATCCAAAATACCACATATTGTCATTTTGGCATCTTTTTATAGGTCCTGGGGTTACAAGCAACTCAAAACATAACATATGAGACTAAGAGAAACCACACTTAAAAATGGAAAAAAAGGGTAGAAATAACTTAGCTCTGACTTGTAAAATTGCGAATGTAGATTGAATTAAAACATAACTTAAAACCGTAAGTTACAACAGAAAGGGTTTAAACTCCTAAAGTATGAATATGCAGAAAACAACGTGCTTGTTTGGCTTCTTGCTTTAGTCCAAGCTTTAGTCCTTCCTTCATGTTTTCTGGCTCTAACTCCAACAGCAGAAGAATCGTTTCACAATTGTGGAGAGAGCTCAGCACGTAGCTTAAGTACATCCTGTAGAGATAATAGAGTGCACAGAATCATCAACAAGGCTTGCAGATGGATGATTCAACGTAAACTAGAATGGCAGACATTTGATTGGGAGCAAATATAGCATATTTCAGTCCACCTACCTCCTCATTCCAAAATGGACTATTCCATATCAACCTTTACCCCCAAGTAACCCCCAAGTAACCCCCAGTACCCATACAATGCTTTTAGGAAAATGTCCTTTTCAGTGAAATATTTTGGAAGCCCTTGTACAGCGTTTTTTTAGCAATTATGAACTGGAATATGATTAAAACCAACACATTATTTGATCAGGTACATTGAAGTTTATAGTAAGAAGAAACGATATGTTTATGTGAAGTACCTGGACGGATCTGGCAGATGAAGCGGAACCGATAGTTGCACGGCGCGTCATACCACTTGTATGTATTTGGCCTCCAGAACCAGAAGTCACCAGAGACAACACAGTCTTCTTCGCCCTTACCGCTATCTGGTTGTCCTGGATTCCAGCCTTTGTAACGTCCAAGTGCCGATCCATCTATCCACTTGAATGTGTCCTCTTTTTCTTGGTCTTGGAGACCGATCCAGAAAGCCTTATCATATATCTTACAGTCATTGAATATGGGCAGCATTGCCTTTGAGAATTGAGATTTTTTTAATTTATAGAGTTTGCCCAGGAAGGTGTTGGTGTAGGCGTCTCTGGGCATGGCGAGGGTACCCCCATCATCATGGCAGGTGTTGAGCGAGTCGGTGAAGGTATTAAGTGTGTTGTACAACTTGTAGCACATTTTGCGCCCCCTTTCATAGTAATAGCCGTTTGGACAAGACCCTGCAGAAAAGAAAACATGTAGGAGTCTAGCTGTTGGCACCTATTCCACCATGTCATTCACCACGCATGTGCGCATGGAGAGTTATTATTATAAATACATTAATTAATAAAAGAAATAACAAGAATGGAATCAGAATAGAAAAGGCATAGGGTATATCACAAGGCATTTAAGTACATTTGGTTGGAATCCATAAACAATACCAATGATAAACGAATGATAAACAATGATAAATAAGACAAGCTTGTATTTTAAAACATTTTAGATGCAAATGTACTTTTTCTTATTTCAGTGGTTTACCAACGAAACCAGAATGGACTTTAGTGGTTTCGTAATAGGAACAGAATATTTGGATCACCTCTACGTCCAGTGCTGGGGCATGTTGCGGTTCCTGGGTTACCGGGATACCCGGTCTTTCCTCGGGGGCCAGGCGGCCCAACAGGTCCACGTGGCCCTGGTGGACCGGCATATGTAGGACCAGCCGGTCCCCTGGATCCTTTCTTTCCTGGAGGACCAATAGGCCCCCTGGATCCCTTCTTTCCTGGTGAACCAGGTGGACCTGGTGGCCCGGGGACTGCAGGGCCAGCCGCCGGCCCCACTGGACCCCTCTTTCCAAAATGGCCAGCCGGCCCCATGGGTCCCTTCTCTCCCGGAGGACCAGGTGGCCCAGGGGGGCCTGCAGAGGCAGGGCCAGCCGGCCCCATGGGTCCCTTCTCTCCTAGCGGACCAGGTGGACCTGGTGGCCCGGCAAATGCAGGGCCACCAGGGCCCATGGATCCCTTGTCTCCTGGAGGACCAGCCGGCCCGATGGGTCCCTTCTCTCCCGGAGGACCAGGTGGCCCAGGGAGGCCTGCAGAGGCAGAGCCAGCCGGCCCCTCGGATCCCTTCTCTCCTGGCGGGCCAGGTGGACCTGGTGGCCCGGCAAATGCAG